TGAGCTAGAAGCTGGAAATGGAAAGGATCAAAATGGGTCCCTCTCTGGTATGTCACAACATACTCCTGTTTGGAACTTCCTGTTTTTCTCTTCTTCTGCTTGCCCCAAAAAGCCACACTCATGGACTTATTCATTAGCAGGAGACAAGCTGCCTGACCCACATCTCAGTGAGTGGGTAGCATGCTGCTGTGATGTCAATGACTGCTGAAGCAGTCAGAGTCTTGGCTTGAATGAATCACCTTGGGACACCTATGGATAACTATGACAGCATTAAGGACCACGACCTTCAAGCTTGAATGAATCACCTTGGGACACCTACGGATAACTATGACAGCATTAAGAACCACGACCTTCAGGGAAGATGCACACAGGTTCTCTGGTGGGACTTTCTGCCTGGCAAAAAGATTAGCTATCAAGCTGTGCTCTATACTAGTACTATGTCATAATTATGTTATGAGACTCAGGAGCCTCAAACATGGTTCTACAGCCATGGGACCCTCTCTAAGGCTCAACAGCTGCTTGGAAGACACAGGATTCACCTGACTACCTGAGGCAAAATTACCTTTGGCAATAGGCTGTCAAAGTTATTAAGACTTCTCTTACTGTAGAAATTGAGTGGAAGGCAATAAGGAAGCTTAGGATAGGGTAGGCAAGCCAAGAGTTTGGGGTGATGGGAAGAGAAGGGACATAGCAATTCTCAAAGTAACTGAAGTGTAATTCCTTTGACCACAGGCATGCAGAGAAGGAAGTTCACATTGAACAGCCTTGTGGGGAAAGCTCTCAAGCCTGTACTGTGAAACCAGAACACTTGGGTGTCCCTCAGAGGTCTCCAATGCATGGAGCATGGGGAACAAAACAGGAAGAGTCTGAAAAGTGTGTGCAGTTACAGGGTTACAATCTCACTCATGCAGAAATCATGGGATAGCTCACACAACTGGAGTGCTGTGATGGAGGAATACAGGCTCTTTAGGAAGGACAGCAGGAAGGTGAGGAAGGATAGCAGGAAGGTAAGGAAGGGTGTTGCCCTTTATGTGAGAGAGTAGCTGGAATGCATGGAGCTCTGCCTTTGGACAAGCCAGGAATCAGCTGAGAGCTTTTGGGTCAAGATTTGTGGGCAGATCAACACGCTGTTGTGCTGGGTATCTGCTTAAATTAGGAAGCAGTAGGTAAGGCTTTCTTACACAACTGGAATAAGCTTTGCATTCACAGGCCCTGGTCCTCACGAGGGATTTTAACCACCTCAACAGCTGCAGGTGTCTGAACACCAATCCCTCTCCCTCTTTCTCTGTGAGAGTGCTCCAATGCTGGAACAGGTTGGCCAGAGAGGCTGTGGAGTTTCCATCCTTCTGGATAATCAAGACCAGGCTGAAAATGGTCCTGGGCAACCTGCTCTAGGTGGCCCTGTTTGAGCAAGGGGATTGGACTAGTTGATCTTGAGAGCTGCCTTCCCACCTCAACCATTCTGTGGTCTTGATATGTTTAGTTCCATTTACTTTGATTCCTTACACATTTAAAATACAAATATAAGCCCTCACTAGAGAACATATGCATTGCAGCTTTATTCTTTACACACAGCCCCAGTGCAAACCCATTATCTCCAACTGAGTGGTCTCACTGAGATCAAATTAAGCAAAGCATATTTAGGTCTGTGGACCAGCACAGTCATTTTCCTAACCATGCATTTTACTTCAGCTTTGTTTATTCGAAGGACCTCATTTGTATTAAAAGAGCTTCCATTTCATATAGAAGGTCAAAGGATTCACTGATCTGTTAGTTCAATGGCAAAACTGAAGCTGTACTGAAAATTAAAGCAGTGTAGATGAAAATAATAGGCAGTATATATCAAGTTAGAAATCCCATCTATGTTTTTTTCTTTTAAGTTTCCCAGCATGGCAACACTGGCCAACAGATATCTAGTAAATTACCATTAAAATGTCCTGTATCACAGTTAATGCAGATATATATCACTGCAGAATGGTAGAATTTCTGATTTTATAGGATGCTCAACAAAGGCTCTGTAGACAGAGCAACATTTTAACATGTCTTTCAAAAAAGGCAATGCCTATTGTTTGCCATCTGTGGTGAATTTTAACATAATAAAACCCTCTTCGTTATTCCTGTCCTTCTAAACCATTTCACCCCTTCACTTCTTATCCAAAAATTACCCTACACCTGACACCACAAGACATCATAAAACTACCTTCAACCACAGCATTTAATTGAGAGTGTTTGGCATGAGGGGCCAGGAAAACGCTGACAGCTCACAAGCTGTGATAACAGCACTAATGGTAAAATACCTACTGTAGGAAAAGAAATTTCAGCAGCACAGTTTCTCATTTCCTGCTTTTGCTGGTTGGCAGAAGGCAATACACGCAGAGCAATCCTGGGACAGAATCATCATGGAGTCATAGAATTGGTTAGGTTGGAAAAGATCAGATACACAGCTTTGAGAGGGAAAACACTGCAGAACGCTGCATGTTCAGATACTTTTAAGGAACACTTAATTTCACAAAAACTCATTCTGAGCTACCTGCTTGCTGACACAAAGTGCCTGGTTACATGATATTTCCATTAAAAAAATGAAAATTCTGCATTGCAAAGCAGAACAAGAAGGCATGGTGTGGAAAACAAGGTATTTTAAGCAGTCACAAAGAATAATTGATAATAGAAGTGAATAATGAAGACAAAAAGGAGAATCACAGAATCATCAAGGTTGGAGGAGACCTCTAAGACCATCAAGTCCAACCATTAACCTATCACTCTGCTGTAACCCCTAAACCATATCCTCCAGCACCAGATCCAGACGCCTCTTAGACACTTACAGGGATGGTGACTCCACCACCTCCCTGGGCAACCTATTCCAGTGTCCAACCCCCCTAACAGGGAAAAAAATTTTCCTAACATCTAATCTGAATCTCCCCTGTCTCAGCTTATGACATTCCCTCTAGTCCTCTCCCTCCAGGCATGGCAGAAGAGACCATTCCCCAACACTCTACAACCCCAGTCAGGTAGTTGTAAAGAGCTATGAGGTCACCACTGAGCTGTCTCTTTTCAAGACAAATCCAGTTCCCTCAGCCCTTCCTCATATGACATGTTTTCTAGACCTATTGCTCCAGACTAGCAATCCCAAAAACCTATTACATTTAAGGTTCGTGATTGCAATTTCGGCAATAATTTCTCTGTTGTGGCAAACAAACACAACAGATAGCAAATTGTTCAGCATTTCATGTTTTCGTCTCATTTCTGACCATGACAACAGCATGCATTGCTGTGTCACATGAAATTCATTATAGGATCAGCATCTCTGTTTTTGTATAGTGACTTAGGTCACAAATTTCTTCCAGCAGGCAACTAGGCTTTTGGGTGAAAAGGGGACTGAAAAAGTGCAAAAGTGTACAAAGAACTTTACTCTTTCTTAGATGAGAAAATGCTAAGAAATGTATGTACAGTAATAATGGAAAAATATTCATAACTTTCTTTTCTTATTCTTTGATGCATTTCTCAAAGCAAAACTATACTGTTCTTCCGAAAGGTTGCCCTAACTACTCTAGGTTATCCACCTTGTATGCTACAGACACATTTCACAGGAAAATGAAAGCTCAAAAAGTGCACTAACAGTCTATTACTGTGCAACCTAAAGTATACATTGTTCTTGGGGGAAACCTATCAATGACCCCATTTGAAGAAGAGAATTCCTTTCTTTCTCTGCTACCTAGCATGAATACATAACTTCCTCAGAAAAATAACCAGTGACTGCTAGGCAGATTATTAAATGGTTTTCTAGGCACTTGCCATGGTGAGACAAATTGCCAAAACTTAATACAATCACAGCTGCTGAATTGAGACTGAATTTTGCAGTATTTTAGAAACAAGTGTCAGTTTTATTTGTTTTGAAAGATCAATTAGAACAACATCTATGGGATGGCAAATCTCCCTTCCTACTAATATCTGTAATGATCCATATACTGCCTTGAGGGTTTTTTTCATTTTGATTGTATATTCCTCAAGAACACTTTTATTGTCAGAATGCACAAACCTATAACTGGTCATAAACTTTTATTAGAATTCTGTTCAAATAACAGAATTGCAAATAAATTATGCTAAATAATGAGGAAGTTAAATGATTCTACGCTGGGCCACTGACTTCTTGGCAGCTATTAGTTTAAGTGCCTGAAGGAGTAATTATATTGCCTCTGGAAGCTTAGTTTAAAACAACCAAAGCTCTAAGCTCCAAAATTTTAAGAAAATACCAAGAACTACATGCAGACACCCGGGGAAAGGATGATGAGTAAAACTTCTGATCCATTAAGAGATGCAATAACCATGTTTTAAACATAGTTAAAAGATGTCCAAGACCAGCAATTAAAGTAAAAATTTTGTTCTTTTAGGTTGTCCTTGTCTCTTTGCTCCAAGTATTGTGTTCTGGGTGCTATTTTTCTCTAAAAATTAAGATATTTTTAAGATGTGACAACCAACATGCCACAACAGGGACACACTACGTGGGTATCCAGCAACAAAAATGCAAGTGAGCAAGCAAAAAGTTTTTCAGGGGAACCATAAAATGCAATTACCATTGTTTTACCATTTATAACTCATAGAGTCCAAGGGGCCTGGGAGAATACTTAATGGAAAACAGCACTCACAACAATAAATTAACAATTATGGAATGCAGACAATGCATTCCCAGATTACTTTTAAGTATGAGAAGTCTTGTCACGAACCCATTTTAGGACACAATACAAAAGGATAAACAACAAGGAGAACTATCTCAAGTCTCTGTACACTGACCACTTTCAGTCTCAGGTGAACATAAAAGCAATAGCCATATATTCTAATTAATGATAGTTCAGGTATTTCAGAGTGAAACGTGGAGACAAAAGCAGAAGTCACACTTTCAAGACTGACCTTTTCAATAGACAGAAATTCTTGGTTAATACTTTTGCTTGTTTGCAAAGTACTTTTGGAGCACATACAAACATCAACTGACAAATAAATCCTACCTGTTTCCTCTTTTCAGGTGGAAGTGATGGATCCCCATCCTACAAACAAATGGACATGGTTTATTGGCAACTTATTTCTGAAACCAGCAACTATATTAACTCTGTGGATCAAATTTTAAAACATGCATTTTAACTAAAATGTTATAAAAATTGTTTCTACAATACTACTGATTAATCCTAGTAATGTTCACTTCAACTCAAAAAGAAGGTCTAAGGGTGAAGATTTGTTTACATGTCTAGAACAGCAGGTCATTACAAATTTATGTTGCACTGTTTTTCATAATGGTACATTAAGTTGCTGGGGAATAATAATACACTGCAATCAGTTTCTAAATGGAATTCTGACTGAAGCTAATTTCCTCAGAGCACGAACTGTCTTTTTGTGCCTTATACAACAGGCACTACCTCATCAATGCAGAACAAATGAATAATCATATGATCAGGGCTGTACAACTGCAGGACCACTGTAAACAAGTACCTAAACAGTGTTACAGCAATCATTATGGAATCATTTCGATTTTTTTGAGGTTCATCCTTGTCCCCCAATTGTAAAGTATTCATAAAGAAACAACCTACAATCAGCTCCCGATACTTTTTTTTCAGAGACTGGTGCCGTTCCCGCAGCTGGTTGGCCATAAGCTTGTACTGGTCTCTTTCCTGTTGACAGGTGTCCAGCTCTTTGGAAAGGATTAGCAATGCCTCCTTTTTACTCTCAAGCTTCCTTTTGCACACCAGATACTGCAGAAAATAAAAAAAAAGTAAATGTAACGAGGTATTTCTCCCGCAGCCAGTACTGGATTTGAGCAGCTCAAGTTCTTCTCTGAAAAGATGGAAGAAGACTCTGTGCACAAGATCAAAGTCTGCCACAAATCATCTTAACTTATTAATAACAATCGTGGGAAAGGTATCTGTTGTACTGAAAGCCTGAAATCCATTTGTAAGGCCACATGCTTACCTGACCACTGTGAGTTAGAAAATTTAGTATTTCAAGTTTCTCCTCTTCTCTCTCATATGCAATAATCTGAGGACCCTCACAATCTGACCTGCAGCCCTGGGAAGGCTGCTAGAAGGAATAAATGCTTTCAACCTCCTTTTTCTCCTTATGTTCACAATACCCAGTACCCAGGTAGCAACCAGCCCTTCCCACTTTACCACCCACTGCCCTCCTCCGCCGCACTACGAGCAATGTCCTCTGGGCTCAGCCTCCCACCTGCACACTGAAATGGGACCATGTTACAGCAGAAGAAACAGCATGAATGGTAACCAAAATTTGCCTTGAATCTGAAACGATTGCAGTGTGATACCCTATCAGCTCAGCTGAACGAAACTAATTAAGTTGTGATATCATATGCACGTGCCTGCCCTCCTCCGCCGCACTACGAGCAATGTCCTCTGGGCTCAGCCTCCCACCTGCACACTGAAATGGGACCATGTTACAGCAGAAGAAACAGCATGAATGGTAACCAAAATTTGCCTTGAATCTGAAACGATTGCAGTGTGATACCCTATCAGCTCAGCTGAACGAAACTAATTAAGTTGTGATATCATATGCACGTGCTTGGGGAGAAAATGGGAAATGA